AAAATTATTACGTACGGCTCGCTGTACTGCAGGATGATGGTCTGGATGTGGTCACGCCGCCTTGATTCGCACGGCGGCCCATCGAGACCGTCATCTTGACTTGCAGTCGAGACGTATAATAGTCGAGAGTAAAAAAGATAGAGGTAGAATTGGTTGGCAGCTATCACATGCATCAACTGATTCAATTGTACCATTCCCATCTATGATATTGATTGCTTGCTTAAAAGACATAGAAGAACTATGCATGTTTTTGGCTATTTCTTGTCTTTTTTATGTTTTTTTTTCTTTTTCCTTGGCATTTTTTCTCCATTGGATAATGAATTCCATTACAGCTTATGTGCCTCTGAAGTTATCAAAGGGACATGACTGATGTCAGTGTCTCTTCAAAATCTTTATTTTGTTTCATATATGTAATTAAAAGTTAATATTTATTTTTTTTTTAAGAATGATTGAGTATCATATGATTATTTTCACAACATGCATTCATACTTAGGATTTATGAAATTATAATATATTCCTAGGGGTAGTAACATGACAAATGAGTCTAACCATAGAAGTTAGAGTCTTGTCGTCGGTGTGGAGGAGACATATCTAACATCAAAGCATTAATATTTGCTTATGTAAAGCTCAACAATACTACAAATATAACCAAAATTTGAAATGTGGATTTGTTGAATTTTGATTTATCCATGAATCACACTCAAGGAATAGAGTGTAAGTAGTGAGAGATACACAGAGAGAGAGAGAGAGAGAGAGAGAATGAACATCAGTTTGTCGTAATTAACTGTGTATTATTTATAATATGATTCTCCTATTTAAAGAGGACATGATATATATCGATGATATTATCAGCTATTCTCCTGTTTTAATGTGATCCGTACTGAGGTATTTTGGTATTTCACATGTGTAAGCCTGTCGTCCCACTACTTTCCAACTTTATCACTGACCTTAGTCGGTCTCGAGTTGGCAAGATCAGCTCGGTCAATTGAACTTGGTTGATATAGATTGATTGGCTGATACATCCTAACTGACAATCTTTAGTCCTTGATGAGAAAATTTTGGGGTGTCCGTCGGATGGTCAGAGGTACTAGGGAAGCGGATCTTCCTTGTGAGCGGTTTTGTGGGAGGGCTGGGTATTCCTTCTGGTTGGTTTTCTTGTAGTGGCCAGCTCCGATGCACTTTTACCTCGATTGGTTCGAGTTTGGATCATTCTGTCTTCTTTTAGTCTGTCTCACGGCTCAGATGATTTTGGTCTTACTGCTTGGCTCAGACAGCTTCACTCGGTCAAACAAGTAGACTTCACGATCTTGCAATGGGCCCACCTTCGGCTTACTATTACTTTATGAATCATTAGATCTCATTTATATCAGTGTTGGCACATTGTTTTATGTACAAGGTTGATATCTAAGAAATGCTAAAACAAATTCACCTACATATTCTTACTTCAATCTAAATAATCATGAGAAGAACATATTATTTATTTTGATGTTAAGAAACCTATTTTCTCATCCTATCCTCGATAAATCCAATAAATTTATTGTATTTTGATTTTGATCTTTGGTTAGTGAGGAGTCATTGAGCAACATTTTTTTGTTAGTTTTAATTATTAGAGTATTGTACATTGAAAATGTGTCAGCACGAATCACAAAGACATCTCGCGGATAGTAGAAGAAGTGATGTGGCCCAATGTGGCCTACCAAGAACGACGATGGGCCACACGATTGGCTGGCAACCCACACATGTCGATAGGACGGTGCGCCTGAAGAGAATAAAAGACATACCACCCTAGAAGAATCCATCGGGTCATGTCCACTTGGACGAACATGTCCCCTTCTAACCCGGATATGCGACAGAGTAAAAAAAAATCTCACAATCTTAAATAGGAAGACGTGAATCCCCAACAGCTAGTCACCCGGTCATACCCATGGGCCCCACGGGTTATCTTTTAGTCCAATCCAAAATACGTATGTACTTGCGTAAAGATGGGTCGTACCTACATACTCAACGGTTGCAACATGTAATTGTGCACAGTGAGTTTGGATCGTACCTAAATACTAATGTGAGTATTGGTTGTACCTACATACTCTAGTGATACAATATGTAATTGTACATTAACTCATTCTTATAAATAGAGGGTCGATGTCATGAATAAATGTTACACAAATTTATTGTTTATTACCATGCTATTGCTCTCCCTCACTCGCTCCCTCTCTCTCATCCTTCAATGCTCTATTCATTAAGCAAGCCTTTCGGACAGATTTAGATTCAATAAATATTTTGATTTATCTAAGAAATATTTTGAAGAATAAGTTTTCCATATTCAAATGAAATTATTCTAAGAATTAGATAGCTCCATTTTGTCACAATCTATAAAACCAAATATTTATTTATTTATTTATTTATTTGTATTTTTTAAGCTTGCCTTTCATAAAGTTTCTGTTTTTCTCCCAAAAAGGCAACTAACTCGGATTTGTTTAAGCAATAAAATCTACAAACATTGACCAGGCTAACTACTCGGCCATGGATGGGCCTGATCTTTGGGCCGGTGACTAAACCTGCGCCGCTGGTGTTGGCCAAGTTCTAATATAAGAAAGTTCTAAACAATAAAAATTATGTTTAAAATATTAGCTAAAATCTCTTTTAGAAACATTTTTTTATTTTTTTAGCAATATTTTTTTTCAACTATTATTAATATTTGCATTATTAAACTAAAATTGTACCATAATACTTGATAAGTCATTTGTTCTGTAATTATTCACTATTAAGACACTAATGAAGAACACTAATTTAAATGTTTAGTGCTTCTGTTGGGCCTGATGAGTGCTCAAGTTCGGCCCATTATAAATCTTCAATTTTTTTAGTCCAATGCATAATTTAGTTTTCTTTAAAGAACTAAACTAATGAGCAATGCATAATTGACGTAAATATAATCATAATTTTTAAATAAAAATGGTACTAAATTTAATATTCATTAATGCTTTGATATAATAAATGATTATAATTTAATTGTGCTTTTCAAATCATAGAATCTTCCTCTCTTCAATATGTTTTCTTCATTCTTTTGTTTGCTCTCTCTCTCCCTCTCACTCTGTGTATGTGTCTCTATGTATATCCTTATATATTATTAAAGGAAAGGCTAAAAGTCAGATATCACACTTAGTGGCTCCATGTATTATACGAGCCCCGACCATCCCGCATGCGTCTAAGAATTCAAGTACCGCACCTTACACTCGGGGGGAATCGAACCCCAGACCAGAGGGAACTTACAACTGACAAGCAGATGTCCGACCAACTGATCTGAGTACGTGGCGCATAGATATATATAAAATTGTCAAAGAGGATTCGAACCCTCGACCTGAGAATTCTTATACGGTGGATGCCAACCAACAGGTCGGGGTACGCCGCACTTTGTGTGTGTGTCTATATTGTGTGTGTGTGTGTGTGTGTGTGTGTGTGAGTACCTTATGTTTTAAGTTTCATCAACCTAAGAGTTGTGCTCTTCTTTTTTGATGTAAACCTTTGTTTAAGTTATATTATCTTCAAGTTAAGCCATTGAATATTTGTTCTCTTTAACTTGTTAACATCTACAAAAATTTATGGGCGAAAGAGACTATACAATTGCAAGGATATATATATATATAATAAAGAAATAATTTAAGAGAAAAATAATTAATCCAATTCCTTATGAGTAGCAAGAGTTATATGCATTACAGGTAGGGGTGTAAACGAGTCGAGTTGACCTTGAGACACCCTTAGCTTGAGCTTGATTAATTGATAGAGTTTGAGCTCTAGCTTGAACTTATTTCCGTGAATTACAGCCGGCTCACGGGTCTGGTTGCTTAGTATGAAAGAGAGAAAAAATATTAATTTAAACTGGGTGTTTTTACATACATAGCACCGAAAACTTTCATATTTTCCTATCTCACAACTAAATTTTTATAATTACAAATATCATATGAAAAATAACACTTATTTTTACATTTTAATAGTCAAATCCATCTTTTCATTCATATCTAAAGTGTTATATCTGTAAAAATGAAAATTTAGGTGTGAGATATGTTATTCTACAAGAATTGGGTGCTATGTATGGAATTTTCCCTTTAAACAAATGTTATATTGAAATGATAGAAAAAAGATTTAATAGATAATTAATAAGAAATCATGAAAATATTATTTTTAACTTTTTTTTTATTTATTTAAAGAAAATTTCTTGAATTTTAGTATATTTTAAGTATAATTCTTATTAATTATTTTATAAAAGAGCCAACACAGATTCGAGTCGGGGCTGGCTTTAGCTTTGCTTGTTAGAGCTCAAATCACGAGCCACTTATCTTGAGTCAATCCCAAGCCAGCTCATGAGCAAGCTCGGCTCAGTTAAACCCAAGATTTCAGGCAATAAAATTTGCAAACAAATAGCACTATGGGAATCAACTTTTACTATATAAAATTATAAAATTGTACATCCAAAAAATGATGGATCTACACATTCCTTATTGTCAGAAAGAATTTCTTCATTGCTTTGCTTGACCTTAATATTAAGATAATATTATGTTCCACTGTGAGTCATCTTCTTCCCATTTGGCTTCATAAACTTATAGTCACTAAATAGACTTTTTTCTTTTAGGATTGGATTCGAAAAGTCATACTTTTTATCCATTGAGGTATCTTCCACTTAGTATAAACTGCAAAAGAAGTAATTAATCTTACGATTTTTAGCCAAGCAAAATGAGCAGATATCTCAACATAATGCCAACAAAAACTAGTCTTTGTCTTGTGTTCTTCTCACTCTATTACATCTACTCAATCAATCCATGGCTATTTGAATAGTATAGCAAACCCCCAAATGTTGTTCGAGTTTTCATCAATGAGACCTAATTCTGTATGGATTCACAGCCAAGAAATTTTCCAAATTCAGATAGGATGACGTTCAATAATTTTAAATTCCAGAACCAAACCCTAAAACTTAAACTAACAATAACCCATTTCAATCACCACAGCAATTTAAAGATGAAGTAAATAATACTTTATAGCCATCTGGAAACAAAATAACATAGTTCTTTACTCAAAAGCAAATGAAATATAACAAAAAAAACAGAGAGAAAAATGATATGCTTTTCAAAGAAGCAGGGAAGTTAGATCTAAGGTACGGTAAAATTTCGCAATTCTACGAATAATTGATCGAACGTTGGTAAAGATAACCGAAGCTTGCAAAATCAGACTCATCTATTTAGCCTTGGCGGGGCCATTATTGACTGCGGCGGTGGCAGAAACTGAGTTAGGTGAAGGGTTAAGCTCGTCCCAGGCCTCAATCCAGGTAACCATGGCATCTGCAAGCTTGGTGAAGTAAGGATCGACCTTGCCGAGCTTCTCCCTCACCTGCTTCGAGAGCTCGATGTAGCATTTCTGGATAGTGGTGGATTCCTTGGACAGAGTTGCAGACTGGAAGAAGGGAATCAGCTCTTCTTGCCAGAAGATGCCATTGTATTCCTTCTTGAGGTTCACAAATGGATTGCTGGCTTTGCTGTGCCAGATGTATGGCAAGCCGGTCTTCACTCCCAATCCCAAGTGATCACAGATTACCTGTTCATAATGGTTCAGATTTAGAAAACGGGTTTTAAGAAAAATGTAAATTTTATTTATGCTCTGTAAGTCCACTCAAAATCAACTTTAGTATAACAATTTTTTTTTTTTAACGAATTAAGTGAAGGGGAAATATTATTAACTTCATATAGATCCATTTTTGATATTTTGATTTGGATATAATTGAAGAAACATAATTGGGCCACTTGGATGCATATCACACAATTTTTTATGTATTTACATATCTCAAACTGAAACTTCAAATCCTTAATATCACATCAAAAATGACATTATTACCATCTTTTGAAAAGTGAACTACACCTTTACATGCGTATGTTAAAAGTACAAAAGTGCTAATGTGTGTAAATATGAAAGTGAAAGTTTTTGGTGTGAGATATGTAAATACATAAGATTTGTGTGCTAGGTATGTAAATTAGCCAACATAATTTTATTAAGCAAAATTAAAAAAAAAAACATATTTCACATTATGGCTCTCTAAATGAACACAATGAAAAGCGGGATTAAAACTATGGAGTGAATAATATTAGGTTGTGTTCATTTTTTCTGTTATTATTTACAATCAAACAAAATAGCAAGATTACTTTCACTCCTCAACAAAACAAGAAGGTGAAAACTAATTTCAACGCAATTCTTTTCTCAATTCCCTCCTCCAATTCCTCTCTCTCAATTCCCTCAAACCAAATAGAGCCAAAATGAAAGAAAAAAATTTCTAGAAATCACCTGAAACTTGATTAAGAATAAGAAAATTACTAATGAAGTTAATTCGGTATAAGGTTAAATGGCATACCTTTACGCACCAACCTGCCCACATGTCATCGTAGCGACCAATAGGCTGGCCATCACCCATGAGGCCAAAGTACATAGCTGGGCCAATGAGTTCACGGTTGAAAGCCAGATTCATGCCACACATCGGAAACAAAGTCCCTTTAGGGATCGTAAGAACCGCATCAACGTATCTAACGAGAATTTACACAAAATGAGTCTTCTAATTAATCAAACAAGTGTAAACAAATTTATTTTGCGGATGATAATACCTGGTATTTCTTTCGAGGGGTTTCACAAGCTGGGTCGGGGCATCATAGTCAGGAATGTTGAGCCAAAGGCCATGAGAAACAGCAGTTTTTGCACCTTCTCTAAGGCTGAAAGGATATCCACGAACAAAGTCGGCACCTTCTCGAAAAGGATCATAGAGAGTGTTAAAGAAGAACGGAGTGGCAGGGCACAAAAGGTTTTTTATGTGCTGCTCAAGAGCATTGATTTGTTTGCCAGATGGATCTTTGGCAACCTATTTAAACCATAGTTAAAACAAATAGTTATATGGAGATGATTAATATTGTCAGCATAAAAAAAAAAAATCCAAAGTTGGAGATGAATACTATAAGTCAATAAATTAATTCAAATAATTAAATTTTGGAATAGAATTGATCCCCCTCCATAAACCCAAATGCAGGATTATTTGTGCTCCACTAATCACGTGTGTTACGCTAATCACGAGCGCCACATAGTTAAGACCCAAAAAAAAAAAAACAAGACATGTGCTACAAGTCTAACAAAATTATGTTGATATGATTACCAAATCAAACTTCTAAATCAACAATCTAGGAAATCCAATGATTTTCAAGTTAGATAACATGTCAATTCTTGCATGGATTGAAAAAATTGAAGAAATTTTGCATACATTACACATAACTCTTAAGTGTTTACATATCTAAGACTTAAAGTCTGATATTTACATTTACAACACTATGATGTTATAAACCTATGCATGAAAACGTGTATTTCACTTCTAAAATGTTAGCAATAGTGGTATTTTTGATGTGATGTTAAAGATTGAAGTTGTTGGCATGTAAATATGAAAGTTCATGTGTTAGATATATAAACTATAAGAATGGTGTGGTATGTATGTAAATGTCACAATAAATTAATAGTTCAAATGTCATAAAATTTTCCAAGAAGCTTTTGTCTAACAAAAAGGGAACATACATGGATGATTGTGACATAAGTTAGGTAATGAAATCATGGCTTCTTGCAGTCAGGATTCTAATAGCTAAAAGGTCAAATGATATAAAAAACAAACCAAAACTGGCACAAAAGGTTCTTTATGTGCTGCTCAAGAGCATTGATTTGTTTGCCAGATGGATCTTTGGCAACCTATTTAAACCATAGTTAAAACAAATAGTTATATTTAGATGATTAATATTGTCAGAAGAAAAAAAATCCAAACTTGGAGATGAATACTATAAGTCAATAAATTAATTCAAATAATGAAATTTTGGACGAGAATTGATCCCCCTCCATAAACCCATATGTAGGATTATTTGTGTTACGCTAATCACGAGCGCCACATAGTTAAGACCCAACAAAAAATAAACAAGACATGTGCTACAAGTCTAACCAAATTATGTTGATATGATTACCAAATCAAACTTCTAAATCAACAATCTTGGAAATCCAATGATTTTCAAGTTAGATAACATGTCAATTCTTGCATGGATTGAAAAAATTGAAGAAATTTTGCATACATTACACATAACTCTTAAGTGTTTACATATCTAAGACTTAAAGTCTGATATTTACATTTACAACACTATGATGTTATAAACCTATGCATGAAAACGTGTATTTCTCTTCTAAAATGTTAGCAATAGTGGTATTTTTGATGTGATGTAAAAGATTGAAGTGGTAGGCATGTAAATATGAAAGTTTATGTGTTAGATATATAAATTATGAGAATTTAAGAAATTCGATCACAAGATCCATATACGCACATTACTGACCAGACTAACATCAATATGAAAATTTATCATCAAAAAATAAAAGATTTAATTGATTTTTTTTTCTTAAATTTATACTACTATATAAAAATTTCATTCTAACAATCAGTAATCTAATAGATCTATCACATAAGTTAAAAGCCTTTCCATAAAGAAAAGGAAATCTCAAGATAGAACCTTACCCTGACAATTTGGAATCGACATTATGGATCTTGATTTTCCATTAATTCATGTTTTACCACACATCAGCATACCGATGTTTCTTCTTGATCCTCAAACACTAGTTTATCCACCCGAATATTTAAATCCAAGCATTCAAATTATTCATTATTTATTGCCTAAATTACTACACATCCATCAAACATTCTGAATCCGATCCATCCAAAATTTAATTTAACTATGAACAGCATTCTAGATGGACCACCCCTCCGATCCATATAATACCAGATCTAAATACAATAATAAAATTTACGATAAACTTACCAAAATAAAACAAAGTCCAAATCCTACCCTGATTGACCCCCATCCAGAACATAAACATACCAGAGACTACCCAACCCAGACCAATCCCCATCATTCCCCAAACAATCCCCAATCCCAGATCCAAGATACCAGATACCAAATACCCAATTCAGAAAATAATAGACGAGAAGCGAAGACTCACGAAGCAGTCGTCGTCGATGGTATATATGTATTTCTTCTTAGACACCATATAACCGAAGCATCGACATGCGGAATCCTTGAATGAGATGCAGGAGGCCTTGGGACCGAGGATCCGATTGATGTCGTTGCGGTTATACAGTTCGTAATCGAAGCCCTCGGGGACATTGATGGTCTTCGATGGATCTCCGTCCTGCACAATGATGAGATGGTAGGGCTGGAAGAAGGGCCTCCACATCTCCAAAAAGTCAAGGTTTCGGATCGTCGGAATCACAATATCGAGCTCATCCTTCGAGCTCATCCTTCAGAGCTCATCCTTCAGAAGAGGAGTGATCGGTACCGAAGAAGGCGAAGGTGCACCGGCCATCTCTCTGTATCTTGGATTTGTTCCGAGATCTACTTGAGAAACGGGAAGAACAGAACTGAACGGAGAGGAAGAGAACCAAAAAACAAGAGCGTTTTTTCTTCTAAAGTCTCGAGAGGTTCCCCAGAGTTGAGAGGGAGCTGGTTTTTAAAGAACTTTTGCACGTGCCAACCGGTCGAGACGGGTGAACTGAGTGGGTTTCGCGCGTGCGAGCAGATGGGTCGGCTTCGGCATATGCGATGAGCAAATCGGGCTGAATTTTATTTTGCTAATATTATGCCATTAATTTTAATATTAATATTTATTTATTTAAATCTGGTAAAAGATGACAACACTGCTAATTAGATGCTTGTGTTTATTTCAGACTTCCACCACATCTTTAGGGAGCTAATTTTAGTTGCTTTTATAAATTTATGCCATGAGAAACTATTTTATTAAATAAAATTTATTAAAAGGTCATAATCTAAATTTTTAGGAAGAAAAATAATATAATTTTGACCATAATGTTCATAAAATTATTTTTTCCATCACAATTTTATAGTTATTTTTACAAAATGTTGTTGCACTAAAAAAAATTTAAATTTATTATAAATTGTGAACTAAAAAATAATTTGCACGAATCTCGAGACAACCATGCAATTGTAAATCAGTGGCCTACTGAACAACGTGGCATAAAATTATATGTTGTAGTTGCAAGAATCTGAAAACAAAAAATTACAAGGCATAATGAATTTGACAGATTGTAGACCACCAGCGGACCGATGACTAGTTTATCAATGGCTAGTTGACTTAAAGGCTAAAGACCAACCAAATGATTGCGATCAACTGGAGGCCGATCCAACGATTAAAAGGCCATCTAGGTCAACATGAGACAGGTATCCACACCAACGCCAAACAAAGCTCTAATTCCTCCAGCAAGCTTACAAAGCTCTCCCAAAAATCTAGAAATTGCTAAAGAACAATAATCAAACAAGCCAACTAGTCATCCTAAGGTTGACTGACGACCACACTCAAAACCGATCGACTTCCCAGGGAAAAGATCAGCAGGCATTCAAACAAAATAACAGACTGATACCAACTCGATCAATCGACCTAAGGACCTAACAAGTAAAAAGTCTAAGTCACACGACATGGTGTCATAATCAGTTATAAATAGGAAAAGACACGACAAAAGATAATAGTATTTTGTGACACCGCTATTAAAGCATGTGCAAGCATATAATTTTAAACATTTGTTCCTCTATCTTCTATAAATAGTGGGTCTATATCAAATATTGGGAGATTTTTTGCTCTCTTTCTAGACTCATACACTATGGGGAGAATTCTCTCTTATTCTTGCTTGTAACACATTTCTAGCATATAGAATGGGTCACAGAACTCAGGAAAACTCCATTTCGCTAATTTGGGGCAAGTCTGTATGTCTTCTCTCCTTCTTTCTCCCTCTCTGTCTCTCACTACCTCTCCCTTAAGATGTATACCATTCCGATTCTAAGACATTCCTGACATTACAAATTTGAATTCAATATAAATTTTATCATATCAATTGCTAATACCATTGTTCATCTAGCTATTATTATTGTTGTAAGAAAATATCTAGATATAACTAAAAGTTATCAATCAAAATCTTTATAGTCATTTTTATAGCTCATTTTATGACATTTTATTAACATTCGTTTCTAAAATTAAGACAATTAAGAAGGATATATTACATCCCATTCTGAAATGGTTAAACACACAAAGCTTTTACCGATCTGATTTTCTTATAAAATACTGAATCATTTTGGGAAGTGATATATTGTAATGTTCTTGGACACAAACAATCTAGAAGAGATCTTGACGGAGTAGTGAGAAGAAGCTGAGGGGAATTAGATAGTTTTTTGACGGTGCAGAACTGCGACCTACGATGTTGCCATAACTCATGCAGTTTCTAAATCTGGTTTGTGCTGCCTACCAACGTTATCATAGTTTTGGTAACTCCCGACTCCAGTCTATGCAACTCCAAAATTTGTTCTCTACGGCTTACAGATGTTGTCACAATTCATGCAGCTTCCAATTCCACCTACACATCCTACGAACATCATCATAGTTTATGCATCTCTGAACCCTTGCATGTGCGGCCAACAGACACTATTACATCCCGCGTTACGGTCTATGTGACCCACAACTCATACAACTTCAAACTTCAACAACTGCAACC